GCGTCCTGGCTCGCCTAGAGGCCGACCAGAGAATGTTCTGAGAATTTTTTTGTGTTCGGAGGTTGGTAGACCTCCTACTCCTACCCTGACGCGTCGATTCAGGAATTGGCCGTCTTCGGTTCGCGAGAGGGCGTCGCGGCCGTCATTTTTGCGGGTGCAGGCCCGTGGGTTTCGGTCCCAGGCCGTTTTCACTGAACGGAGGTTTACTAAAGCGAGGTTTGTCCACCGCCGATTTTTGTGGTCTGCACGAAATCTTCTTCCTATGCTGTATGGGAAACATGGGGGGAGGGTTGTCCACTGGGGGTTGTCGGGGGGGGGGGGTCCGGATCGCCCTGGGGTTGTCTGGGGGGTTATCCGGGACGTGTCGCGTTGCCAGCGAAGTCGCATGCTATGATGATCCAAGTCGTGATGCTTGTGCGTAGCCAGACGAGTCCAGCGAAAGGGCGTCACTCTGTTTTGTCTTAGCGCATCGGGTTTGTGTTCTGAGAACCTTGCTTTTGTTCTTAGAACATTTGGAGGTTCTAAGGACATTTCGTGGTGGGCCTGTGGAAATGCCGGGACGGTCGGTCCCTTTTCAGATCGGATGCCCTCGCTGGGTTTCACTTGGCTGTAGACCTCTTTCGAATGTTGAGTCCCAGCCGCTGTTTTAGAAACCGGACCTGCTGGGGCTCAGGATTAATTCGGGCCTGTCCCTCTACAGGAGGAATATTCAAAAATAGTTGAAAATAGTCTGGGGATTATTTTTCATTGTTTTGGGCAATTTTGAAGTATTGGTTGATTCTTATTCCCCACAAGTTTCGTGGGGTTATGGTTTTCTTCCCTGCCGCGTCGCACCCACCTCCCTCTTCCCTTCCTCCCTCTTCCTCTCCTCACCCGCTCAGGTCAGCACTGCACTGCACAGCACAGCACAGCACAGTGCATCTCAGCACAGAACAACTCAGCACTGCACAGCACTGCACAGCACTGCACAGCACAGCACAGCACCTCAGCACAGCACAGCACAGCACCGCACAGCACAGCACCTCTGGACACCATAGGGGGTGCGCATCAGGTGGTCTCTGAGCGCGGCCGCTATCCACGACAATGTCGCAAAGCCTAGCAGGCGTGGCATTTTCTGGACACCATAGGGGGTGCGCAGGGGGTGGTCTCTTAGCGCGGCCGCTATCCACGACATTGTGGCAAAGCCTAGCAGGCGTGGCACCTTCTGGACACCATAGGGGGTGCGCAGGGGGTGGTCTCTCAGCGCGGCCGCTATCCACGACACTGCCGCAAAGCCCAGCAGGCGTGGCACCTTCTGGACACCATAGGGGGTGCGCAGGGGTTGGTCTCTCAGCGCGGCCGCTATCCACGACACCGTTGCAAAGCCTAGCAGGCGTGGCACCTTCTGGACACCATAGGGGGTGCGCAGGGGGGGTCTCTGAGTGCGGCCGCTATCCACGACATTCTCGCAAAGCCTAGCAGGCTTGGCACTTTCTGGACAGCATAGGGGGTGCGCAGGGGATGGTCTCTCAGCGCGCCGCTATATCCACGCCACTTTCGCAAACGCCTAGCAGGCGTGTCGCACTTGCTCTGGACACACATGGGGGGTGGCAGGGTGGTCTCCGAGCGCGGCAGCGTATCCACGACACTGTGGCAAAGCCGAGCAGGCGTTGCACCTTAATGGAACACAATAAAGGGGGTGCGCAGGGGTAGTCCTCCTCACACAGCCAGCTGTCCCACGACATTCTCGCAAAGCCTAGCAGGCGTGGCACTTTCTGGACACCATGGGGGGTGTGCAGGGGGTGGTCTCCGAGCGCGGCCGCTATCCACGACACTGTGGCAAAGCCTAGCAGGCGTTGCACCTTATGGACACCATAGGGGGGTGCGCAGGGGGTGGTCTCTCAGCACGGCCGCTGTCCACGACATTCTCGCAAAGCCTAGCAGACGCGGCACTTTCCGGACACCATAGGGGGTGCGCAGGGGAGGGGGTCTCTGAGCGCGGCCGCTATCCACGACAATGTCGCAAAGCCTAGCAGGCGTGGCACTTTCTGGACACCATTAGGGGGTGCGCAGGGGGTGGTCTCCCAGCGCGGCCGCTATCCACGACATTGCCGCAAAGCCTAGCAGGCGTGGCACTTCCTGCACGCCACAGGGGGGGCGCTGGGGGTGCGGTCGATATCCGTTCGGGCTCGCAACGCGTGGCAGGCGTGGCCTTTTCTCGATGGCACAGGGGGTGCGCTGGGGGTGCGGTCGCTATCCGTTTCGGCTCCGCAAAGCCTAGCAGGCGTGGCACTTCCTCGACGCCACAGGTGCGTGGGGGTGCGGGTCGCATCCTTGCGGCTCGCAACGTTGGCACGTGGCCTTTTCTCGATGGCACAAGGGGTCGTTTGGGGATGCGGGCCGCTATCCGTTTCGGGCTCGCAAAGGTTGGCAGGCGTGTCTCTTCCTCGACGCCACATGGGGTGCGGTCGCTATGCGTTTCGGGCTCGCAACGAGTGGCAGGCGTGGCACTTTCTCACGCCGAAGGGAGGGGCCTGGGGGTGCGGTCGCTATCCGCTTCGGCTTCGCAAAGCGTGGCAGGCGTGACACTTCCTCGACGCCACAGGGGGCGCGCTGGTGTGGCAGGCGTTGCATTTCCTCGACGCCGCAAGGGGGGCCTTGGGGGTGCGGTCGCTATCCGCTTCGGGCTCGCAAAGTGTGGCTTGCGCGGCGCTTCTCCTCTCCACCTCTCCTCTTGACTGGCGTCACCAGGTACGGCGGGGCACGGCCACGAGCATCAGTCGCACGTGCTTCACTGCCGCTATCTACCACAACCAGCCTGGATAATAGTAGTAATGTGGGGCCCTCGTCGCGTAATTTTCTTTGCCCCCCAAGGTCCCTCTGTATGGGGACCAGCCCGACTTCTAACTTACAGTGCCCGATTTTGATACATGCTCCGCGTGCGTATCATTACTAATCATGCAGGGATTCCGTATTAAAACAACAGAGATTCATCAATACATGTATTCTTTGATTTGATCATGTATTCAAACCCTATATTAAGAACAATCTCATGTACCCTGTAACGCCCCTCGCGGGGGTAGAAACCAACTGGGTGCAGTTTACTCCGTGCAGCGTCGTGTTCTTTCCTCCGCCTTTCGTGTTCTTGCGCCAGACGTCCACCTCTGAGGCTCTCGGGAGTTTCCACAAGGCTCGCAGGTGGTTAGAAAAATACCCCGCACATTGAAAACTAAGTTATTCGAGGTTTCGTCTTCGACTCCGTTCCCAGAGCCCCGACGCGGTGTCTGTTCATCGTGTCGGCGCCCTTGCTTTCGTGAAAGTATCCTCGGAGGGCCTGTTTGTGGCGCCCCCGGGAGAGGGGAGGAGGGAGGGGGGGGGAAGGAGTAGGGAGGAGGGAGAAGGACGGAGGGGGAGGAGGCGGATCTCGCGCACGGCGCTATCGGAACCATCGAGATTACGGATGAGGTAGGAGGAGGACGAGGATGAGGATGAGGAGGAGGAGGAGGAAGAGGAGCAGGCGGTGGAGGAGGAGGAGGAGAAAGAGGAGGATAAGGAGGAGGAAGAGGGGGAGGAATAATTAAAAGCAGGACGGATGAGGAGAAGGATGGCGACGACGAGGAGGAGAGGGAATGACGCCCGTCCTGGAGCCTGTTGGTGTCGCCTTGGCTCTCCTAGAGCGTGCTGGGGGTCCTGTGGCCTGTTTGGGCTCTTCGGGGCCCCTTGGGGCCTCCTGCGCCCTCTGGAGCTCCCTGAGTGTCATTGAAAGTGGGTCCTCCTGGGGGCTCTTGAGATCTCGTGGGCTATCCCGGAGCCGCCATTGGCCCTCCTGGAGCCTCCGTGGGCCCTCTAAGAACCCTCTCGCGGGGGCGGAATGATGAAAACAATTTCGCTCAAACATGGGGGCCTTTCCGTTGAGAAGGGGGGCGCGGTGCAGAGTGGGTCCTCCTGGGGCCCTCAGGTGATCTCCCAGGCACTCCCGAGGCCGCCATGGGCCCTCCTGGAGCCTCTGGGGGCCTCTCAGAAGCCTCTCTCGGGGGCTGAAAAATGACGACAGTTTCACGGATGGGAGCCTTTCCGCTCAGAAGGGGAGCGCGGCGAAAGGTAATAAATTGACAACAGTATCGCATTTGAGGCCCCAAATCGTCCTTGGGCACCTCGGGCGCGAACCCCGCTCCCGCATAGTACGGTGCGATTTCCCCTCCCCCCGCTGTCCCGCCGGACCCCGGGAGGGTGATTTTTGTGGTTTTCGCTTGTGAGAAACACTTCCCCCCCCTGTCGGCGGTGACGGAGGGCAGGCGGCGGGGGTGGGCGGGTTGGCGGGGTGGCGGGTTGGCTGGGGTTGCGGGGTGGCTGGTTGGGCTGGTTGAGCCGGTTGAGTTGTTTGGGTGGCTGGTTGGTTGGGTTGGCTGGTTGGGCTGGCTAGGGCAATTGGTTTCGACTAC